CTCCGGTGTGCTTTGTGTTTTGAGTTGACTCAAAACACGTCTCTCCAATACCGGCTATGCAGATCGATCAATGACAACAACTTCTCCGGTGTGCTTTGTGTTTTGAGTTGACTCAAAACACGTCTCTCCAATACCGGCTATGCAGATCGATCAATGACAACAACTTCTCCGGTGTGCTTTGTGTTTTGAGTTGACTCAAAACACGTCTCTCCAATACCGGCTATGCAGATCGATCAATGACAACAACTTCTCCGGTGTGCTTTGTGTTTTGAGTTGACTCAAAACACGTCTCTCCAATACCGGCTATGCAGATCGATCAATGACAACAACTTCTCCGGTGTGCTTTGTGTTTTGAGTTGACTCAAAACACGTCTCTCCAATACTGGCTATGCAGATCGATCAATGACAACAACTTCTCCGGTGTGCTTTGTGTTTTGAGTTGACTCAAAACACGTCTCTCCAATACCGGCTATGCAGATCGATCAATGACAACAACTTCTCCGGTGTGCTTTGTGTTTTGAGTTGACTCAAAACACGTCTCTCCAATACCGGCTATGCAGATCGATCAATGACAACAGCTTCTCTGGTGTGCTTTGTGTTTTGAGTTGACTCAAAACACGTCTCTTTAATACTGGTTATGCAGATCGATCAATGACAACAACTTCTCCGGTGTGCTTTGTGTTTTGAGTTGACTCAAAACACGTCTCTCCAATACCGGCTATGCAGATCGATCAATGACAACAACTTCTCCGGTGTGCTTTGTGTTTTGAGTTGACTCAAAACACGTCTCTCCAATACCGGCTATGCAGATCGATCAATGACAACAACTTCTCCGGTGTGCTTTGTGTTTTGAGTTGACTCAAAACACGTCTCTCCAATACCGGCTATGCAGATCGATCAATGACAACAACTTCTCCGGTGTGCTTTGTGTTTTGAGTTGACTCAAAACACGTCTCTTCAATACCGGCTATGCAGATCGATCAATGACAACAGCTTCTCCGGTGTGCTTTGTGTTTTGAGTTGACTCAAAACACGTCTCTCCAATACCGGCTATGCAGATCGATCAATGACAATAGCTTCTCCGGTGTGCTTTGTGTTTTGAGTTGACTCAAAACACGTCTCTCCAATACCGGCTATGCAGATCGATCAATGACAGCAACTTCTCCGGTGTGCTTTGTGTTTTGAGTTGACTCAAAGCACGTCTCTCCAATACCGGCTATGCAGATCGATCAATGACAACAACTTCTCCGGTGTGCTTTGTGTTTTGAGTTGACTCAAAACACGTCTCTCCAATACCGGCTATGCAGATCGATCAATGACAACAACTTCTCCGGTGTGCTTTGTGTTTTGAGTTGACTCAAAACACGTCTCTCCAATACCGGCTATTCAGATCGATCAATGACAACAACTTCTCCGGTGTGCTTTGTGTTTTGAGTTGACTCAAAACACGTCTCTCCAATACCGGCTATGCAGATCGATCAATGACAACAACTTCTCCGGTGTGCTTTGTGTTTTGAGTTGACTCAAAACACGTCTCTCCAATACCGGCTATGCAGATCGATCAATGACAACAGCTTCTCCGGTGTGCTTTGTGTTTTGAGTTGACTCAAAACACGTCTCTCCAATACTGGTTATGCAGATCGATCAATGACAACAACTTCTCCGGTGTGCTTTGTGTTTTGAGTTGACTCAAAACACGTCTCTCCAATACCGGCTATGCAGATCGATCAATGACAACAGCTTCTCCGGTGTGCTTTGTGTTTTGAGTTGACTCAAAACACGTCTCTCCAATACCGGCTATGCAGATCGATCAATGACAACAACTTCTCCGGTGTGCTTTGTGTTTTGAGTTGACTCAAAATACGTCTCTCCAATACCGGCTATGCAGATCGATCAATGACAACAACTTCTCCGCTGTGCTTTGTGTTTTGAGTTGACTCAAAACACGTCTCTCCAATACCGGCTATGCAGATCGATCAATGACAACAACTTCTCCGGTGTGCTTTGTGTTTTGAGTTGACTCAAAACACGTCTCTCCAATACCGGCTATGCAGATCGATCAATGACAACAGCTTCTCCGGTGTGCTTTGTGTTTTGAGTTGACTCAAAACACGTCTCTCCAATACTGGTTATGCAGATCGATCAATGACAACAACTTCTCCGGTGTGCTTTGTGTTTTGAGTTGACTCAAAACACGTCTCTCCAATACCGGCTATGCAGATCGATCAATGACAACAGCTTCTCCGGTGTGCTTTGTGTTTTGAGTTGACTCAAAACACGTCTCTCCAATACCGGCTATGCAGATCGATCAATGACAACAACTTCTCCGGTGTGCTTTGTGTTTTGAGTTGACTCAAAACACGTCTCTCCAATACCGGCTATGCAGATCGATCAATGACAACAACTTCTCCGGTGTGCTTTGTGTTTTGAGTTGACTCAAAACACGTCTCTCCAATACCGGCTATGCAGATCGATCAATGACAACAACTTCTCCGGTGTGCTTTGTGTTTTGAGTTGACTCAAAACACGTCTCTCCAATACTGGCTATGCAGATCGATCAATGACAACAACTTCTCCGGTGTGCTTTGTGTTTTGAGTTGACTCAAAACACGTCTCTCCAATACCGGCTATGCAGATCGATCAATGACAACAACTTCTCCGGTGTGCTTTGTGTTTTGAGTTGACTCAAAACACGTCTCTCCAATACCGGCTATGCAGATCGATCAATGACAACAACTTCTCCGGTGTGCTTTGTGTTTTGAGTTGACTCAAAACACGTCTCTCCAATACCGGCTATGCAGATCGATCAATGACAACAGCTTCTCCGGTGTGCTTTGTGTTTTGAGTTGACTCAAAACACGTCTCTCCAATACCGGCTATGCAGATCGATCGATCAATGACAACAACTTCTCCGGTGTGCTTTGTGTTTTGAGTTGACTCAAAACACGTCTCTCCAATACCGGCTATGCAGATCGATCAATGACAACAACTTCTCCGGTGTGCTTTGTGTTTTGAGTTGACTCAAAACACGTCTCTCCAATACCGGCTATGCAGATCGATCAATGACAACAACTTCTCCGGTGTGCTTTGTGTTTTGAGTTGACTCAAAACACGTCTCTCCAATACCGGCTATGCAGATCGATCAATGACAACAACTTCTCCGGTGTGCTTTGTGTTTTGAGTTGACTCAAAACACGTCTCTCCAATACTGGCTATGCAGATCGATCAATGACAACAACTTCTCCGGTGTGCTTTGTGTTTTGAGTTGACTCAAAACACGTCTCTCCAATACCGGCTATGCAGATCGATCAATGACAACAACTTCTCCGGTGTGCTTTGTGTTTTGAGTTGACTCAAAACACGTCTCTCCAATACCGGCTATGCAGATCGATCAATGACAACAGCTTCTCCGGTGTGCTTTGTGTTTTGAGTTGACTCAAAACACGTCTCTCCAATACCGGCTATGCAGATCGATCGATCAATGACAACAACTTCTCCGGTGTGCTTTGTGTTTTGAGTTGACTCAAAACACGTCTCTCCAATACCGGCTATGCAGATCGATCAATGACAACAACTTCTCCGGTGTGCTTTGTGTTTTGAGTTGACTCAAAACACGGCTCTCCAATACCGGCTATGCAGATCGATCAATGACAACAACTTCTCCGGTGTGCTTTGTGTTTTGAGTTGACTCAAAACACGTCTCTCCAATACCGGCTATGCAGATCGATCAATGACAACAGCATCTCCGGTGTGCTTTGTGTTTTGAGTTGACTCAAAACACGTCTCTCCAATACCGGCTATGCAGATCGATCAATGACAACAACTTCTCCGGTGTGCTTTGTGTTTTGAGTTGACTCAAAACACGTCTCTCCAATACCGGCTATGCAGATCGATCAATGACAACTTCTCCGGTGTGCTTTGTGTTTTGAGTTGACTCAAAACACGTCTCTTCAATACCGGCTATGCAGATCGATCAATGACAACAACTTCTCCGGTGTGCTTTGTGTTTTGAGTTGACTCAAAACACGTCTCTCCAATACCGGCTATGCAGATCGATCAATGACAACAACTTCTCCGGTGTGCTTTGTGTTTTGAGTTGACTCAAAACACGTCTCTTCAATACCGGCTATGCAGATCGATCAATGACAACAGCTTCTCCGGTGTGCTTTGTGTTTTGAGTTGACTCAAAACACGTCTCTCCAATACCGGCTATGCAGATCGATCAATGACAGCAGCTTCTCCGGTGTGCTTTGTGTTTTGAGTTGACTCAAAACACGTCTCTCCAATACCGGCTATGCAGATCGATCAATGACAGCAACTTCTCCGGTGTGCTTTGTGTTTTGAGTTGACTCAAAACACGTCTCTCCAATACCGGCTATGCAGATCGATCAATGACAACAACTTCTCCGGTGTGCTTTGTGTTTTGAGTTGACTCAAAACACGTCTCTCCAATACCGGCTATGCAGATCGATCAATGACAACAACTTCTCCGGTGTGCTTTGTGTTTTGAGTTGACTCAAAACACGTCTCTCCAATACCGGCTATGCAGATCGATCAATGACAACAGCTTCTCCGGTGTGCTTTGTGTTTTGAGTTGACTCAAAACACGTCTCTCCAATACTGGCTATGCAGATCGATCAATGACAACAACTTCTCCGCTGTGCTTTGTGTTTTGAGTTGACTCAAAACACGTCTCTCCAATACCGGCTATGCAGATCGATCAATGACAACAACTTCTCCGGTGTGCTTCCCGCGTCCTTCTCAGCAATCAGTAATCTCTTCTACCTGTGAGACTACTCGATCCATCTCTCAACTTATCAATGCAACAACCCCTTTCATGAATCCTAATCGGGTGGGTGGGATGCATGCAGCAACAGTAAGCGTTGTGACTGCCCCTGTTCTAGAGCACGTATGCAGCGGCCTGTACAAGAGCGAATGGATGCGTGCTTCACTATGTATTTGTTTCATTATTTCCCCACCACGCCCTGGGCCTCATTCAGGAATGCTGGAAACAACCATTTCACAGGAACCTTCCCGGATTTTATTCTGCGCCGCAAGGGCCTTCCTTTCCTGTAAGACATGCACTTGTGGCCTTGAACAAAAGCTCGTGTTGCACTGAAGGAGCAAAAACGCAAGCAAAGCAAGCAAAGTACCGAGCCGAACCGGCTCGCTCTCGTTTGGTTTGAATCCAGCGGAACTGCACAGAAGAGCCTTTTATTCGTGCCTGTAATGCATCCATGCATGACCTAAAACAAAGGTGGGTTGCACTGATAAAGTTACTGCTGCCATTTCTTGCAGTGCTTCCTCGTACCTGAAGCTTGGCCAACAACTCAAAAGGCAATCGCAATCAAAATGGTCATGGCAGGAACTTGGGCAACAACAGGTTCACAGGGACTATCCCCCGCGAATTGACCGAGCTTGTCAACCTAGGTTACTTGTAAGTTGCACTGCTGCGAACCATTGACCGAGCTTGTCAACCTAGGTTACTTGTAAGTTGCACTGCTGCGAACCATTGACCGAGCTTGTCAACCTAGGTTACTTGTAAGTTGCACTGCTGCGAACCATTGACCGAGCTTGTCAACCTAGGTTACTTGTAAGTTGCACTGCTGCGAACCATTGACCGAGCTTGTCAACCTAGGTTACTTGTAAGTTGCACTGCTGCGAACCATTGACCGAGCTTGTCAACCTAGGTTACTTGTAAGTTGCACTGCTGCGAACCGTTGACCGAGCTTGTCAACCTAGGTTACTTGTAAGTTGCACTGCTGCGAACCATTGACCGAGCTTGTCAACCTAGGTTACTTGTAAGTTGCACTGCTGCGAACCATTGACCGAGCTTGTCAACCTAGGTTACTTGTAAGTTGCACTGCTGCGAACCATTGACCGAGCTTGTCAACCTAGGTTACTTGTAAGTAGCACTGCTGCGAACCATTGACCGAGCTTGTCAACCTAGGTTACTTGTAAGTTGCACTGCTGCGAACCATTGACCGAGCTTGTCAACCTAGGTTACTTGTAAGTTGCACTGCTGCGAACCATTGACCGAGCTTGTCAACCTAGGTTACTTGTAAGTTGCACTGCTGCGAACCATTGACCGAGCTTGTCAACCTAGGTTACTTGTAAGTTGCACTGCTGCGAACCATTGACCGAGCTTGTCAACCTAGGTTACTTGTAAGTTGCACTGCTGCGAACCGTTGACCGAGCTTGTCAACCTAGGTTACTTGTAAGTTGCACTGCTGCGAACCATTGACCGAGCTTGTCAACCTAGGTTACTTGTAAGTTGCACTGCTGCGAACCATTGACCGAGCTTGTCAACCTAGGTTACTTGTAAGTTGCACTGCTGCGAACCATTGACCGAGCTTGTCAACCTAGGTTACTTGTAAGTTGCACTGCTGCGAACCGTTGACCGAGCTTGTCAACCTAGGTTACTTGTAAGTTGCACTGCTGCGAACCATTGACCGAGCTTGTCAACCTAGGTTACTTGTAAGTTGCACTGCTGCGAACCATTGACCGAGCTTGTCAACCTAGGTTACTTGTAAGTTGCACTGCTGCGAACCATTGACCGAGCTTGTCAACCTAGGTTACTTGTAAGTTGCACTGTTGCGAACCATTGACCGAGCTTGTCAACCTAGGTTACTTGTAAGTTGCACTGTTGCGAACCATTGACCGAGCTTGTCAACCTAGGTTACTTGTAAGTTGCACTGCTGCGAACCATTGACCGAGCTTGTCAACCTAGGTTACTTGTAAGTTGCACTGCTGCGAACCATTGACCGAGCTTGTCAACCTAGGTTACTTGTAAGTTGCACTGCTGCGAACCATTGACCGAGCTTGTCAACCTAGGTTACTTGTAAGTTGCACTGCTGCGAACCATTGACCGAGCTTGTCAACCTAGGTTACTTGTAAGTTGCACTGCTGCGAACCATTGACCGAGCTTGTCAACCTAGGTTACTTGTAAGTTGCACTGCTGCGAACCATTGACCGAGCTTGTCAACCTAGGTTACTTGTAAGTTGCACTGCTGCGAACCATTGACCGAGCTTGTCAACCTAGGTTACTTGTAAGTTGCACTGTTGCGAACCATTGACCGAGCTTGTCAACCTAGGTTACTTGTAAGTTGCACTGCTGCGAACCATTGACCGAGCTTGTCAACCTAGGTTACTTGTAAGTTGCACTGCTGCGAACCATTGACCGAGCTTGTCAACCTAGGTTACTTGTAAGTTGCACTGCTGCGAACCTGGCTTGTTACCTGCTGTAAGTAGCGGGGTTGAGGATCGGATCCGTTTAGCATTGTGCTTGAACTTTTTAGGCCACTTTATCTCTTGATACCATTGTGCAGAATTCTCCATAGCAACAATTTCCATGGAACTATCCCATGGGGCCTGCTTGAGCTACCCGGTTTGTTCTGGCTGTAAGTAGCTCCAATACACCTGTTTCAGAATATTCTTTTTCTTCCACCTTGTCTTTCTCTCAATGAAAGGGTGAAGGTCTGAGGACGCATACAAAGTTTGTTAGGAGTATCCCTGATATGTCAAATGGTGATTTGGAAGTACATTGCTCCACTGCCAAGATGCATTCATGTTCGATGAGTCGGCTTTTGAGTGCCAAATCACATGAATGCATTTGAGTCCACTAAAAAACCGTCTCGCAGAGGCCACGATGCATTCATGTGCTTTGGTTGGCAGTATGCTTGGTTATCTAACTGCTGCATCCAGCCTTCGCTTTGATTTCTAAGCACAGGGATGTTTCTAACAACTCTCTTTCTGGGGAACTCCCACGTACTCTCAGGGTCCCAAGTTCTCTTAACTGGCTGTAAGCAATTGCTCTGTGTGCTGCCACCACTGTGTGTATTGCCACCATTGTGTGTGCCGGTGCAGCACTGTTCCTTCATGGTTAACTTTCATGCCCCTGAAATCTTCGTCTCCTTCTGAGTTGTGCAGTAACCTGGGAGGAAATGACTTCACGGGCTCCTTACCAGACTTCTCACGCTGGAACGTCAGCTGTGACGAGATGTAAATATGTCTTCTCACACTCTCTTCCTCCTTTTCCCACTCTAGCTCAATCTTGGCCTTAGCACCACGAGGGTGCAAAATTGTGCCTTTTTATTTCATGGGCGGAAAAATCACGTACGATGTTTTCACTTCACCCAAACTTTTTGATTATTTTGGTCTGGAAGAATATTGTATCTTGGTGAAAAACTTCGACTGAAATTTCAAAAAAAATAAAGAAGAGAAAAAAACGAAGATATTAATTGTCAAGAGTTGATGGATGCAAAGCTTACTTGCATTCCTGCTGCCAGATCTGTGCAGAGCCTGGGTGAAAGCAGGTTTCTGTACCTGACCCGGGGCCGGGGGATTGCCAGGCTTGACCCGGTCCTTTAAGGCCGAATCGGGCCAGTTTTTTGGAAAATCCGACCCGGGAAGACTAGATCTGACCCGACCGAGTACCCGTCTGGCCCGGCCAAACCGGGTCAGGTAGGCTTGGGTCAAATGCCCATCTTTGCATGTAATGCATTGCACCCAAAGTAAGCGGTTGCGTTCACCCCACTCACGTCAGGCTATCTCGCTGCTGCCTCGCCTGTGTTTGTGGCTCAGAAATCTCAGCGGCAACAACTTCACAGGGTCGATTCCCGACTCCATCTCCACCCTCACCACCCTCAAGGGCATGTGAGGCTTCTCTTCTCTTCTTGTGCCACAACAGCCATGATGCCTGCCATGAGCACATACGCGTGGAGATATTTCCATCTGAACAAGGTGGGTTGTCGTGTACAAAAGTCACCGTCGAACCTTTCCAGTGGCACGCAGCCAATGGCAGGAGAAAGCTAGCAGCGGCAGCCTATGCACACGCGCAACTACATATGATTGATTCGCACTTCCAACCAATATACCCCGTTGCTATTCCCTGCTCTGCAGTTTTCTCAACAACAACCAGCTGACAGGCACCATCCCTTCAGCCATCTTCACCATGAAGAAATTGGCATACATGTAAGCCGCATGCGTCTAGGGATTCTCTTTCTAGGTGCCCATCACACGTTCCTACCTCTGCCCAACGGTACTTTCCTTTCTTGCACAAGTCTGCACAACTCTTTCATGCTCTGCTTCTCATCTGAACGCCTCCCTGCCATTGCTGTTGCTCCTCAGCTACTTGGCCAACAACCATCTCACTGGCAGTCTGCCAGCTGCCATCAGCCAACTGAGGAATCTTGAACAGATGTAAGCGTGCCATGTGCTTTCCTCCTCTACGCTTTTCAAGAACAGTGGCAGCGTAGAAAGCAACACAGGCAGCACATGCACAAGCTTGTAGTACATCGTGACCATAACAGACCTAGCAAGCTTCCACACTATGAAATGAACACGAGAGACCAAAACACGTAAATATTATCTGTGCCATCCTCACTCCACCCCCTGCTCTTTATGCAACCGTTTTTATCCGCCTTTATTCCTGCCAATTCTCTGCCTGTCTCCCCAGCTGGTTGGACAACAACAAGATTGAAGGCCCTCTGCCAGCTGGCATTTGCTCGCTGCCCTGGCTGTGGCGCCTGTGAGTGACCGTCATACACTTGATCGATTTTTTTTTTAGGGGTATTTTGTCTAAGGATGAATTTTAAGGACATTTTTTTAACTTCTCTCCTGTTTTCATGATTTTGGAGATTGTTAAAAAGTGTGAAGACGTTTCACAATTTTGTGTTTGCCTTTCTGTATGGATGTGTGCACGGCACGGCATGGTGTGCGCTGTGCTGCTGGCAGCTTCATAAGCAACAACTCCCTCTATGGACCCCTTCCAGACTGCCTCTTTGACAAGTGTATCACACAAATGTGAGCCTACCATGCATACTTAATTCTCAGTACCATCTATGGCAGCTCGCACCCTCAACATGAGCATTGCACAGACATAATTATCTGGTGGGACGGCCTCCAATTAAGCACTCAATATCATCTCCTGCCGTCCGTGATCCCCCTGTGCTTCCTGCAGTGATGTGAGCGGCAACAGCCTGTATGGGCGCATCAACCGAGACTTCAAGAACATGGTGACGACCATGGGTGCCCCCGCCCGCGACTTTGAGTACATAGCGGCTGATGACATTCCCCTCGTCAACTTGGCTCACAACTTCTTCTTTGGAGATGGAGTGCTCTTTGCTCTCGGCTGCAAGGTCTGCCCCACTGAGATCAACGAGCCCAACAACCTGGGCATAAGGGACAGCTTTGCATGGCGAGAGCTTGGTGGCAAGTGCGACTTTCTTGCTCCAAATATGCCGGCGAGGGTGAGTCTGTCGGGCAACTGCCTGACCCTCACCCCGAACAACCAGTGCTCATCCAACGCCACCCAGCGCAGCACGGCAGCCTGCCAGGCGTTCTGCAGCATCACGGACAACGGCCCGTGCGACGGCCATGGGGCGTGTGTGCCGGCTGACCCCGCCTCCCCCTCCAACTTCACGTGCCTCTGCGATGCGGGGTACACCACTGTCGACTCGGGCAACGGCTCCTCCACATGCGCCATCGTCCACTCCACCACCAACACCACCACTGGTAACCCTTGCTTCATTCTTACAGCTCCACATTTCATTCCTATGTTCTGCACCAGTAACCACGTTTCACGAGGCTTCTGCTATACACATGTTTATCACCGCCCCACGTCCATTCCTTGGCAGTGTCGTCTCTGTCGACGGGTGCCATAGTGGGTATTGTTCTGGGCAGCTTTGCTGGCTTCACGCTGTTGGCTTCTGTGGTCGCATGGCTGCTGTGGCCCCGCGGACAGAGTGAGCCCCTCAAACCCTTCACTTCCATTCCATCTCCCCCATTACTGCACCACTTTCCTGGCTTCCTTCCCGACTCCCCACCTCTCCCAATTTTTGCTCTCCACTGCCCTCATGCTCACCTCTCCTCTGCCCTCATGCTCGCCTCTCCTCTGCCCTCATGCTCGCCTCTCCTCTGCCCTCATGCTCGCCTCTGCTCTGCCCTCATGCTCGTCTCTACTCTGCCCTCATGCTCCCCTCTCCACTGCCTTCATGCTCGCCTCTCGTCTGCCCTCATGCTCCCCTCTCCACTGCCCTCATGCTCGCCGCTCCTCTGCCCTCATGCTCGCCTTTCCTCTGCCCGCATGCTCGCCTCTTCTCTGCCCTCATGCTCGCCTCTCCTCTGCCCTCATGCTCTTCTCTCCACTGCCCTCATGCTCGCCACTGCTCTGCCCTCATTCTCCCCTCTCCTCTGCCCTCATGCTCGCCTCTCCACTGCCCTCATGCTCGCCACTGCTCTGCACTCATGCTCTGTCCACGCATCTACACCCTTAGTCTCTCACACCTCTGGTCTGATTTTTTTTCTGTGCACAGAGAAGTGGGAGGGGTTGGACGTGTGTGAGCAGTTCTCGCTGCAGCAGATGCTGACTGCCACCAGCAACTGGTCGGAGGACAATGTGCTGGGCAAGGGAGGCTTTGGCGTTGTCTACAAAGGCCGCTCGCCACAGGGCCAGCTGTGGGCCATCAAGCGCTCCACCATCATGACCAACGACTTTGAAACGGAGGTGAGGCATGCCTCTAGGTCCATGTGCACGAGAAAGACGTCACGAGACGACATGGCACTCTCTGCTTCCCAGCATGTTGATCTTGTTCCATGTGTGTCCTTGCTGGAGGTGCAAGCCATGGCCTCTCTCCACAACAAGAAAAGACATGGCACTCTCTGTTTTCCAGAATTCTGACCTGCAAATGCATGTCTAAATTTTTCATGCCAATGTGCATTTGCCTGCGTGTTGCAGGTGCGAGCCATGGCCTCTCTCCACCTCGTGCGCCTGCTGGGCTTCTGCCTGGACCAGAACGTGGAGACGGGCAAGCAGGAGCAGATCCTCGTGTACGAGTTTATGGCCAACAGGGACCTGCAGTACCATATACACAGGACCAAGCGTGAGTCGCACTAGCACAATTGTTGAACGGCATTTGCTTGTTTGTTTGTTTTGTTTTTTTACTGCAAAGGACATGACACCACCACTTATGAAATCATGTGTTCTGCTTGGAATACATGTTTCATGGCTCAGATCCGCTCTCGCTGCGCCAGAGGTTGCGCCTGGCACAGGGAACAGCAGAGGGCTTGGCATACCTGCACGGGTTTGACACACCCATCGTTCACCGCGACATCAAGCCGGCCAACATCCTCGTGTCTGCTGACATGCAAGCCAAGGTGGCTGACTTTGGGCTGCTCAAGCGCCTCACTCACGGCGATGCTGATGCCACTCGGGTGGCCGGCACCCCGGGCTATGTGGATCCGGATTACAACCGCACTAACGTCATCACAGCCAAGAGCGATGTGTTCAGGTGAGCATCCAAGCTTGTTCCTTTGCACAACACGTTAACTTTGTGCAGCTTGGTTCGTTTATCTTCCAGGTTATGATCAAATGATAGTACCCTGTGCCTCTCTCCATTTTCTGCCATGTTTATTCCTCCTTGCCCAATTCTTGATTGCTTACAGCTTTGGAATCGTGCTTCTTGAGTTGCTGAGTGGAAAGCTGCCCCGAGTCGACACGGAAACGCATACAACGCATATCAGCATATGGGTATGCTCGTCGAGTTTTGAATTGGCAAGAAAATTTTAATACGAAAAAATATTGGTGAAATCTCATGTCCGTACCTGACCTCATTATTCTATGGCCTCATTTATCCTTAGGTCCCTTGCTTGTTACTTTTCACTGTCTTGCCTTGCTGTCATGGTGCCTCTTAGTGCCTTTCCTGCTTATCATGATGCTTAGTACCGCCTCTCCCATCATCACCCTTCCTTGCGGGCATGCCCTACAGGCTATGAAGCTGTTGCAAGCGTATGAGCTAGAAGAGCTGAGGGACAGCAAGATGCCAGCGGCAAGCGAGGAGGCCATAGTGGACTTTGCAGACCTGGCTCTGGACTGCATCAAGTCTCCTGGCACACGACGACCCACCATGAAGGATGTGGCATACCGCCTCAGCGCCCTCATTGCCAAGCACTACCCTGACACGGAGGATGAGCGAGAGAGTGTTGCGAAAGAAGAAGGGACGAGGAACCAAGGGATGCCTTCTGAGTCGACTGGAGATGGAGGGAGGGAGAAGCCTGAGAGGTCTCATGGCTCACAGTCTGGTGTGATCTCATTCACGGGTACTTTCTCTATGAGTGATAGCCTCAAGAGCTGGCTGCAGTTGAAGCCAGCCCAAGGGCGTTGAGTTTGCCCATAATGACTGCATGTTGGCTGCTTAGCATGGAGGAACTAGAATTCGGGGAATAAGTAGGTAGTACACTTTAAAAAAAGGATCTGGTGGCTACTCATCATGCACCAGTGGCCTGATATTGTATAAGTTGTGAGGCATGAGACACATTTCCATGAATCTAGGATCTTGAAGCAAGAATGGCATGAGATGAGACGAGAGCCAGCCGAGCTTTGTGTTGTACATGGGAGGCATACATACTGAAAGTCATTGGCACTTGCGTTACATCGATGTGCATACTCATTGGCTAGTACCCACGAGGCTGCCATTCACGATGGTGGATGGACAGAAACAACCTGGCGTAGATTGCAGGAACGTGAGTGAGCAGAGCGGGAAGCCGCATAGATCTGGAATGAAATGTATGCCAAGCCGTGTAGCAAGAGGTTTGCCCCACAAGCAGCCCACAATGGCAGTGTTGCCACGCCACCATCGCTGTTGTCATCCTTATCGGTCGTCATTGTCATGTCATGTCATCATGCCCGCCACTATCAGTTGTCTTTTGAGACGTTTCAAAAGCCAACTTTTGGGACGTCTCAAAAACCACCATCGTTGTTGTCAGCGTCATGCCACGTCGTCATGCCCGCCACTGTCAGTTGTCCAGCACCAGAATCTCTGCGTTGTGCCCTCTGTGAACAGACGAAGCAGCAGCACAAGGGAAGGGGAAGAGTGGGAGCAGGGCAGGGACGGGATGAAAGACAGCAGCAGCAGGGCACACAGCAGCAGAGCACACAACAGCAGAGCACACATCAGCAGAGCACACAGCAGCAGGCACACAGAAGCAGAGCACACAGCAGCAGGCACACAGAAGCAGAGCACACAGCAGCAGAGCTCACAAGAGCAGAGCACACAGAGCACACAGCTCCTGCCCCACATGCATGAGCAGCTTGCCATTAGACACGTTCACAACCAGCCCTGTACTACTCACAGCGCATGCGTGCGAATCAGCAGGTCCTCCTCTCTGCGCCGGGGCACCCCGTCCCGATCCATGTGCTTGCTTGGCTGAGTCTTGCCTCGCCGCAACACCCGCCCACTGCGTGCATCCCCTCCGCTGCTCCCCTCGCTTCTCCTGCCGCCCTCCCTCACTTCTGGCGTCACTGCCTGCTGTTGTGCCCTCATCCCCCTCTCCTGCCTCCTGTCAGTCCGTGAGCGTCGCATGGGAGGTGGCAGGAAAACCAATCCCGCATCATGTTTCGCACATACTCTCATCCGTTCCCTCTCCTCCCTCTCCTCCCTCTGCTCCCTCTGCTCCTGCTGCTCTCGTGCTCGCCTCTTCTGCCTCGTGTCAGTGCGGGACCGTCGCATGGGTGGCGACGCACCCTTCTGCTACACGTGCTCCCTCTGCTCCTTTTGCTCTTTCTGCTCCCTCGCTCGCCTATCCTGCCTTGTGTCTGTGAGGGATCGTCGCATGGGAGGAGGTACAGGTGCTGGTGATGTGACTGCATGCTCTCTCAGTCCCTGCATCACCCCCATCCTCTCTCTCCCTCTCGCATCCGGCATCGCATCTGGACCCAACCCCAGCAACCCATTCCCATGCTCAAGCTCCTTCCCATCCCTCCTCTACCCCCCACACTAGGCCCAATGCTCACCACCCCTCTTTCCAGCTCCAAACACATATCCACCCCATCGAACCCCATCCCCACTCCCAATCCAATTGTTTTCTCACAGAGCTCCTCCAGCCTCCTTGACTCCCCTCTTCCGAGCATCTTCACCATCCAAGCACCCTCCTCCTCCCACTTGCCCTCCCTCACTCTCACCTCCCTCACTCCCGTCTCCCCAGCCACTGCCAACAACTCTTTCTCCTCCTCCTCCTCCCTCCTCCTCTCCCTCTCCAGCTGCTGTTACAGCTCCCTCGGGCCTCGCCTCCTCCTCCAAGGCTGCCACGTCAGCCTGGTATCTGTAGCTGCTGAAGGGCGGGTAGTATACCACCGCGCTCACTTTGAGGCCCATTGCTCCCTTCCCTCCTGCTAACCCTGCAGCCGCTGCTGCTCCCTGCTCTTGCTTTCCCAGTTGCAGCAGCAGCAGCAGCAGCAGCAGCAGCAGCAGCAGCAGCAGCAGCAGCAGCAGCAGCAGCAGCAGCACCACCACCACCACCACCACCACCACCACCACCACCACCACCACCACCACCACCACCACCACCACCACCACCACCACCACCACCACCACCACCACCACCACCACCACCACCACCACCACCACCACCACCACCACCACTATTGGCACCAACAGCGCCAGCACCATTGGCAGCCGCTGCAGCAGCAGCAGCACTAGCACCACCGCCGTTTGCAGCAACCGCTGCGGCGGCAGCAGCAGTAGCCGCAGCGAGTGCTGAATCGCTTCCCACCAGCCAGCAAGATGGGCTGTGGGTGCAGCAGCGCCGGGGCAGTGGAGTTGGCACGGCTCAGAGGCCTGGGCTGGCCAAGGCTGACGCCGAAGCTGAGGCAGAGAAAGAGAGTGAGAGCAAGGGGCGAGGGGCGAGGGGCGAGGGATGGGGGCGACGGGAGAGGGACGAGGGACGCTGGTGGTGGTGTTGGTGGTGACAAAGTGAGCGGGGGAGAGGGACGAGAGTGGAGGAAGAAGGCAAGGTGCGGCATTGGGTACTGCTGCTGCTGTTGTTGTTGCTGCTACTTCCGCTGCTGCTGCTGTTGCTGCTGCTCCCAGCCGTGGCTAGGCTAGTCTTTGTGTTGCCGCCAGGGTGGTAGGTCACGCTATGGGCAATGTGCTTGGGCTCTGCAGCAGCACTGCCACTTTGGCTGCTCGGCATATTGCTGCTGTCACTGCCACTGCCGCAGCTGGTGGCACTGCTGGCGCTGGTGCTGCTGGTGCCTCCTCCCCTGCTGCTGCTGCCAGTGCTGCTGCCCTTGTAGTATACCACCACTGGGCGCCTGCGCTCCTCATGCGCTCCCCTGCCCTCCTTGCCTGCTCCTGCAGTCAAGTCAACCTGTCTCTCACTCTGCCTCCGAGTCGCATCCAACACACAAGGGGCAGCAGAGGCCAGTGCGGCAGCAGCAGATTGCTGCCTTCTCAACCCGAGGGAGGGCGGCAGGCGGGGAGATGGCGGGAGGCGGGGAGACGGCGGGAGGCGGGATGAAGAGCATGCTGCAACGAGCGAGGACGGGTGATAGGGGAGGGCTGCCGGGGATACCGAGGGCAAAGTGCAGTTCTCCATGCGCGCGTCGTTGTCAGGACTCTGGGGGGTGGGTGGGGGCTCCACTGGTCGCGACTGCCCCCTGTTCACCTTGCTAGTCACCCCCCTGCCCATTGCCCTGCCTGCGCTCTTCCACCTGCCGGCCTTCCCGCCGCTGCTGGTTACCTTATCATGCCAACCAAATTGCCACCAGGCCGCCACCACGGGCTGGCTCTTTTTCGGTGCTGCTGACATCAGCACAGCGTCATCGTCCTTGGCCTCGCGATGGCCTTCCGTTGCCCCTCCCTCTGCCCCTCCGCAACTGCCTTACACCTCACTTATACGACTTCCAGGCACGGGTGTTACCTCGTACTCGCTCTCAGGCACAGCTTTGGCTGCGTCTGTTGCTGCTGCAGCTGCTGCGGCGACGGCTGTTGCTGTCGTCTCATACTCGGTGCGGTCGAACGTGCGCACGCGGTTGCTCCCCCACAAGCCCTCGCAGCGCAGCAGCACGGGTCGCTCACCCTCTCTGCTGCTGCTGTCGCTGCCACTGCCAGTGCTGCCATTACTGCCGTCGCCTCTTCTGTCCGCCTGCACGCCGAAAGCCTGCGCTGCAGCGTTTCTGCTGCGCTCGCCACCGTCTGACTCTGTACGACACGCCTTTTGTCCACAAGCAACACGCCCTCCTCCGCCTCTTCAAACCAATCCTCGTCACCCCCCACCGCTCCCAACTACTCCCCATCCACCCTCGCACCTCCCCCCGCCTCCGCGCGCTCATTCTCGTAGGCTGCGCGTCCCAGAGCCCTCCCCACGTCCCTGACTGCCCTGGCTGAACTAGAGCGGCTGGTGGTAACCAGGTGTACCGCGTTACAGTGGGCGCCGGGGAACCTGGCGCGGATGCAGGGGCTGCGGGAGCTGAGGCTGGATGGGTGCAGAACGGTGCTGCTGCCGCCATCTCTGGCGTGCTTGGGGCGGCTGGAGAGGCTGATTGTAGTGAGTAATGGGTGTAGTGGGAGCGGCGTCGGGGTGGGGATGGAGGTGGGAGAGGAAATGGTGCTGGACATAGATGGTAGCATGAATGGCGTGTTCTCGGCCTGGCATCTGCGTTGTGCTCGTGACGAAGAGTGGAGCACGAGACACTCGACGCATGGGTGGCGTATAGCCAGTCGTCTCATCTGCAGAGGGAAAGACGTGGAGATTTTTATCCTAGACAATTGACCGTGGTCACAAAATCACATGTGATAGGGATGACCACAGCAGTGATGAAGTGTTGTCAGCGACATTGATGACATTGCTTCCTGGGTTGCTTGTGAGGCAATCCTCCTGTTGCACAGTTCGGCAAGTTGCTGGCCTTCCAGTCCTGACCGACTCGCGTCACAGGCACGGCTACCTGCAACGCAGTTAGCCAGAGAGTGTCCGTCCGTCCGTCCGTCCGTCCGTCCGTCCGTCCATCCTCTGGCATGACTGGTCGCCAGCGGGTATTCATTCCTCATTGTTGTAAGTGCAAGTGCCAAGCTCATGGCTCTTTCAATGAATGAATGCAATGGATTGTTGATTCCACTGTCCAGCACCCATCTTGGCTGGTTGTCATGCCAGTCTCCTATGCAGCGCAGCACTTCAATATCACCGGACTGTCAGGAACACAGGTACAGTATGGCTTGCACTTGTCAGCCCAACTTTATAAATCAGTTACTTGCATCCAAGTCTCAACAAGTACCGTACAATCACCGAAGTGCTGCACACACTGTATCGCACATGTAAAACCCTTGTGCTCTTACCCCTACTGCTACTCATGTAATGGTTCGGTAGTTCCGTGCTAAACAGCCCACATGTATTCACCATGGGCAAACTCATCGCCCTTTGGTTGGCGTCAGTTGCAGCCAACTCTTGACGCCATCACTTAACGAGCTAATGCCAAACAACGAGCTCACACTAGACTGTGAGCCATCACGCCTTTCAGACTCCCTACCACCGTCTCCAAACGAAACAGCAGAAACATCCCTTGAAGACGAACCCTCGTTGCCTTCACTCTCTTCTAGGACACTCTCCCGCTCGTCCTCCTTGTCGGGGCAGTGCTTGTCAATGAGGGCGCTGAGGCGGTATGCCACATCCTTCATGGTGGGTCGCCGTGTGCCAGAAGACTTGATGCATTCCAAAGCCAGGTCTGCAAAGTCCACTATGGCCTCCTCATCTACTGCCGGCATCTCGCTGCCCCTCAGCTCCTCCACGTCATACGCCTCCACCAGCTTCACTGCGTGCAGGGTGTCAATGCAAGGCTGTGAGGCATGGGAAAATATGCAGTTTGGTGGAGGGAAAAGGGAAGTGATTGCCTGCTGGGCTTCCATGCAAGAAAGGATGATGAATGAGAGAGGCAGTGGAAAGGAGCTTGATAATCAACAACAGAGCCTAAAGGAAGCATCACAATAGGGAAATGCAATGAATTCCATAATAAACAGGATCCAACCGTGCAGCCACAAAAGATTGAGACGAATATGCGACTTAAAAAGGCCTTCTCATTGCTGTTCTTTTTTGTTTTGTATGGGGAGGTAGGGGGAGGGAGGGGAGGGGGGGGAAGGGGGGCCGGGGGGAGGAGCATTTCATACTTACCCATTTGCCTATACGTGTTTTTGTGTTGACTTGGGGAGTCATTGCGAGAGCGGATTTGGTTCGTGAAACACATATACAGAACAAAAAACGTAGTTTTATGAGTGATGGTGTCACAACAAAGAAAATTCATGGAAACCATTTAGCCGGCGTGCCAGTGCAACTCACTCTTGGTCCTGTGAGTATGGTACTCAAGGTCCCTGTTGACCACAAACTCGTACAAGAGGATCTGCTGCTGCTTGCCCGTCTCCACGTTCTGATCTGGGCAGAAGCCCCGCAGTCGCACGATGTGTGTGTGGTGGAAAGAGGCCATGACTCGCATCTCGTCTTCGCGTCCTCGCCCGTTTTCGTCCAATACTTCACGTACGTCTGATCCCTTGTGCAACCCCACCTTTGTGTAAATTAGGAGCAATAACTTCCTATACCATTCAACATCCCCCCCGTCTGGTGCTGTCCCCATGATGGCCACGTCTGAGATGGCCTCGAGTACGAATCAGGGGCAGCCTTCACAAAGTGTGCGATACGGGGAAGGTGCTCTCCTTTGCCTGCAGGAATCACCATTGTTGTGTGCGCTGCAAAGGCAGAGCGTTGGCAGGTAAGGCGCGCTGTTGCAGCGGGGGGAGTGTGCACTGTGGCGGCTGAAAGATTGTTGTAGGCAGCTGTGGGCTCCTGTGGGCGGCTATGGGCGGCTATAGGCGGAAATGGGAGGAAGCAAACGGTGGTGGGCGGCTAAGAGCGGCTGGGAGGGGCTGTGGACGAGTACGAGCGTTGGTGGCTGGCTGGCGTTAGTAGCTAGCTGGTGGGCGCTGTGTCAGAGGTCCACTGGAGATCCCCGATAGATCCCAGGGAAGGGTTACAGGCACGTCGGCCTGGGGGGTTATGGGCGCACTCACCCGCTATACAAACAAGCCCTTTTATCCCAATGGTCTAGTGGTTGGGATTCTGACACGCTAGTGCGGCAGTATGTTTTACTGCGGCTGTGCGCACCACTCTGTACACTGCTGCGACTCTGCACTGTGCTGCGCGCGCTGTCCCGGCAGTGTGTGCTTCTGAGGCCGATTCTGTTGTGGTGCGCGCGTTTGTGCGCACTGTTGCTGGGTGTGCACGAGTAGCATGCAGCAGGACGCGCAATGCTGCGAGCAGTGCGTGGACGGCCTACGGCGGAGCGCTATTGCTGGCGGTGTGCTCGCTGCCTATAGAAGGGCATGCGCTGCTTCTAAGGGAACGCGAGGTGGTTGGATAGAGGCACACGCTTGAGATAAAGTGGACGGCTGGCCGGCGGACGGCATTACAGGTGGCTGGCTGGCTGGAGGGAGTCATTAGGGAGGTAGGAAACTAGGACCATCAGGCCCTCAGATTGGTTTGAGGGTATGCTGATGGATCAGCGTGCCCCGGCCAACGAGGTGTCCAAATCAGCGTTCACGTTTTTTTTTATACTGATTTTGCCAGTGTAAAAAGCATAAGTAAACTGATCCAACAGTGTAATAACAAAAAACTATAGCTGAAACCCCTGTACAAGGTGTGTGGTGTTGTTGCTGTGATAGGTTCCAGCGAGGCTAAACACTTCGGCGCGCACCTGATATCTGTGCAGTGCATGCGAAAAAATGCCAAGTGTGTGGGTGGGGTCTCAGGAATCACGGGAAGGTACAGATTGTACACGCGTACCCTATCCCCCCCCCCCACGCGGTCAACTCCGTTTCAGTGTGACTCACGTCACTATACTGATTCGTCAGTGTTACTTGTACAGAAACACGCAAAATGGTCAGTGTGACAAGGTAGGTTATGCTGAATTTCAAGGGAAAAACGAAAATCACAGCTACAAAATCAGCGTAATCTGCGTGTTTTACGCTGATATCTGAGGGCCTGAGGACCATGTTGGAACTGAAGTCTAAGAAATACCCTATGATACTGCCTCAGAGTAGTCAAAGCATAATGGCTATGACTAGGAATGGAAAGATACAAGTATGAGTGTCGAGAAGAGTGTTATTCGCCTCGCTGTAGCCTACATATTTAACAATAATACAAATGTTGGCTGATGTGGTATACCATCACCATTCAATATAGAAACTGAAGTCTAAGGTTATAAGCCCACTTGCGGCCAGTATGGGAGAACTCAGCATCCTTTGGGTGGCTTCAATTGCAGCCAATTCTTGAAGCTCACTTATCGAGCTAATGTCATGAATGAGCTCACATCAGAATGGGAGCCATGAGTCCTTTCGGACTCCCTCCCACTGGCTCCAAACAACAAAGCAGAAACATTCCTTGAAGACGTTTCTTTGGTGGTTGAACTCTCTCCTTCTGCCACGCTCTCCCACTCGTCCTCCTTGTCGGGACAGTGCTTGTCAATGAGGGCACTGAGGCGGTATGCCACATCCTTCATGGTGGGTCGCCGTGTGCCGGGAGACTTGATGCAGTCCAAAGCCAGGTCTGCAAAGTCCACTATGGCCTCCTCACTTGCTGCCGGCATCTTGCTGTCCCTCAGCTCCTCCACCTCATATGCCTCCACCAGCTTAATAGCCTGGAGGGCAACGTACACGAATGGATGTGAATGGTGATGCAATGCAAAGAAGCATGATAAGCAGCAAGAGAAGGCAGTGAGGCAACATGACAACAAGGAAAGGGGGTGAGCCAGCATGGCGACAAGCAGTGAAAGCCAGCATGGCGACAACGAAAGGGGGTGAAAGCTAGCATGAAAGGGACTCATAAACGTGCGGCCATAATTTAATGAAGCCATGATTTAAAGTCAAGAACATACTTTTTAGCTTATTATCATACCCATCCTCTAGTAGCAACTCTTCAACTCTTGAGCCAAAACAAAAACGGGTTTCATACGTTATGTCCATACCCATTTTCTTATGTGCGTTTTTGTGTCGACTTGGGGTGACTTTCCACTCAGCAGCTGAAGAAGCACAATTCCAAAGCTGCAAACAATCAACGGTTTGGAAAAACTCACAAAGAAATGGACACATGTAGAGATGGCAATACAAGGTACGAGAACTCAACATAGCCAGGGGGGTTGAAGAAAGGTGCACACTTTTAATGTGTTGTGCAAAGGAGAAAGCATGCACAGAGATATAAATACAGCGCATAACCTGAAAGGAAGAAAAAGATGAAAAAGAAGACAGGAGCACAATCCCATTGTGCAAAGGAACAAGCCTGCGCACCACTCGGGTCAACATTTGGAAAGAGGTCGCAATACACAATACCCGTATTTAACATAACCCGGAAGGTTGAAGAAAGTAGTGGTGCACAAGCTCACCTAAACACGTCACTCTTGACAGTGATGATGCGGGTGCGGACGTAATCCGGATCCACATAGCCAGGAGTACCGGCCACCCGAGTGGCATCAGAATCGCCGTGAGTGAGGCGCTTGAGCAGCCCAAAGTCAGCCACCTTGGCTTGCATGTCGGCAGTCACGAGGATGTTGGCCGGCTTGATGTCACGGTGAACGATGGGTGTCTCAAACCCGTGCAGGTATGCCAACCCCTCTGCTGCTCCCTGAGCCAGGCGCAACCTCTGGCGCAGGGAGAGAGGATCTGGGTCATGGAACATGTAGAGTCCAATCGAGCCCCACTTAGAGGCCATGGGTCAATACGTGGCAGCAATGTGTTGATTTGAGACACCTAGGTAGGTGATTGTGTTTGCGTAGAAAGAACGCTTGTGAGAAATTGTGATGGTAACCGGTTTCGGCGTGGAAACGCCTTCTTCAGACCACAAGCAATCTACGGATCAGGCACTACTTTATAGGCCTAGGAAATGTCACACAAAACCCAACACGCGGGAGAATCCTCGCGGGGGACAAGGAGACATGTACAAGCAAATGCGATAAAAGGCTAACAGTAAAAAGCTACTGTACCTAGCATTTCTTAGCAGAAATCAAAAAATTCCCAACTCTCTTAGGAAGTCTCCAAGCTATAAGTGCTCTCCTTGATGAAAAAGTGTCGTGTGCCATTGTAACGAGGTGACTTTTGAGTCGACTCAAAAGTTTCCCCAGGTGCGAATGGTCAACCAATGGGTTGAGTAAACATTTCAGCACAAGGGGGCCACGTTTAGGAGAATCACGAAGTGAAGAAACACGAGCGAGGAGGACTGACCGAGAGGCGAAGGTGACCGATTTGAAAATTGGTAAAAGAAACTTCTCTGGATACCCTCGTGCTCGAAGTCGAGCAAAGAAAAGGGCCCGGGAGTTAAAGAAATCGGAGCGGGATGATGAGCGAAGCAGGAAACGATGTAACTCGCTGCGGATGAAGCCCATCTTCGTAGTACGGGTGTGATATGACTTGAAGGGTAAATACAAATACCGATTCATCGGTTTCTGAAACAGCTTCAGGTCCAGAATTCCAGAGCTGTTGAAGCGTTCCCCCTTGAAGAAGGTAACATCCAAAAAGTCAATGGAAATTTCAGAAACGACCCAAGTCAGACGAATAGAAGGATGAAGCGTGTCAAACCGCGCTTTCAACCGTTGAAAATCTTCCCGCGTTCCTTCCCACAAAATCAAACCGTCGTCGATGAAACGAAGGTGCAGAGCAGGAGGTGAAGGGAGGAGAGAGTGGAGTTGAATATCCAAGAAGCTCATGAAAAGAACCGCGAAGCAGACAGCGACTGAGGTTCCCATAGCTGTGCCATGAATCTGGCGGAAAAATCTGCCGTTGAAGGAGACGTAGCTGTTGAACATCACCCAACGTAATAGCCGAGTGACGAGAGGAGCTAAAGGGTGTCTTGCCTTCTGGAGAAAGTATGAAACAGCGTCAATGCCATCCAATAAAGGAATAGACGGGTATAAAGATTCCACGTCATAGGAGGCGAAAAGTAGATTCTTAGAGTAGCGCCGTTGTTCCAGCAGTAAAATAAGACTCTGAGAGTCCTTGATGTAAGTTGACTGTTGAATGACCAGCGGTCGTAGAATAGTATCAAGCCATCGGGAAACATTGGAGGTAATCCACGAATGGCAAGCTGCAATAGGTCGACCGGCCGGAAACTTTTTATGAATCTTCAGCAAGACGTAAAAAGCGGGAATTTTCCATCCGCCATTTGGTTCAGTGAAGAAAGAGTTCCAGACCCTCTTAGATAAAAGAGGCTGATAGTCGGAATGAATGGAATGTAAGCCTTGCAGAATGTCGTCGAGCGGAACGGTAGAGTACTCTTTGTAGACTTTCGTATTAAGAAGGTGTTGAAAACACTTTTCTTGGTAGTAGTCCTTGCTCATAACCGTAAGGCCGAGATTTTTATCTGCAGGTTTGAAGATTAGATTTGGATGTTTAGCGAGCCGTTGAAGCGTAGGAGTGACATTCTTTCGGAGGCGGGATCGTATCGTTTGACCATTGATGTCCTTAATCACCGAGTCCTTAAAGACCGCGAGGGCCGTTTCAATCTCGGAGGAGGCCAATGGCGGATTCCAGTTAGCTCTCCTTGGGAGCTTATAGCCTGGGTAATCAGAAACGAAATCAATTCCACCACAGAGATACATCGTTCTCACGCTTCTACAGAAAGACGACAGCTCAGCTTCTAAACTAGCAATGCTACGGATGGACGGGATGGGGATGAATTTAAGACCCAAGCTCAGCAGGTTAAGTTCGTCGCGGGTGAAGACATGATCACTGAAGTTGTGAATGCCGCGGTTAGTCACTCTGCTACGCAGCTGGTTCTCGGTTTGTCGGCCGAAAAGAATAAGTGCGTAGGAGTGAACATCCGCCGCTACTGTCGATTCGTTCTTCCGCGGACGGCACCTCCCCCGTTTTTTGCCGTTGCGTTACGGTTCTTAGGGTGAGTAGCACTGCGCCCGGCCGCCTTGGAGAAGGAGCGACCCATCGTCTTGTTCGCACGGTGAGTGGTGTTGTCATCCTTCTTTCCGGGACCTGTCGTACGCTGCTGCTTGCCGTTGTAAGGCTGCGACTGCACCTTCTTCGGCTTCTTGGCTGCTGCGACGGTAGCGTTCCGGTTGTTTTTAACCGGGAAGACCTTCTTCTTGCCAGCCGTTGCTTTCCTCTTGCCGTTGTTAACAGAGCGGTTAGGAGTAGACTTGTTGATCGGCTTGAGCTTCGCGACTGCCTTCTCAACCTCCTGCTTGGCGATCTCACGCACGGTAGGATCCACCGGGAGGTTATCAGCTTCTTCTGCCGCAGCTGCCTTTTTCTCGTCGATCTCCTTCTTCTTCTCCTTCAAATGAATTTCAGAGAGGTTAGCTTCCATGACAAAAACAGACATCGCATCCTTGAATTCGGAAATGACACGATTCTTGAAATAGTTCAAGTTGTCGGTGAGCTTGGAGTTTTTGGCTCCGATGTCCGTCTTCTTGGCCAGATTGATGTAATTCGTGATGACTTTTGAGTCGACTCAAAAGTCACCTCGTTACAATGGCACACGACACTTTTTCATCAAGGAGAGCACTTATAGCTTGGAGACTTCCTAAGAGAGTTGGGAATTTTTTGATTTCTGCTAAGAAATGCTAGGTACAGTAGCTTTTTACTGTTAGCCTTTTATCGCATTTGCTTGTACATGTCTCCTTGTCCCCCGCGAGGATTCTCCCGCGTGTTGGGTTTTGTGTGACATTTCCTAGGCCTATAAAGTAGTGCCTGATCCGTAGATTGCTTGTGGTCTGAAGAAGGCGTTTCCACGCCGAAACCGGTTACCATCACAATTTCTCACAAGCGTTCTTTCTACGCAAACACAATCACCTACCTAGGTGTCTCAAATCAACACATTGCTGCCACGTATCAACATGTAGACGGAGCAGAAAGCGTGAGTTTATGAATGATGGCGCTTGGGCCAAAATTTTAAATGCATCGCAACCATTGAGCCATTGTGCCAGTGCAACTCACTCTTGCTCGCATGGATGTGGTACTCGAGGTCCCTGTTGGCCATGAACTCGTACACGAGGATCTGCTCCTGCTTGCCCGTCTCCACGTTCTGGTCCAGGCAGAAGCCCAGCAGGCGCACGAGGTGTGTGTGGTGGCCATGGCTCGCACCTGCAGTGAGAGCACATCATATGCAGATGGAAAGTTGAGAAATTAGTGACCGAGTCTGCAGGTGATTGAAACTTAACAAGTACCGTTTCTTCCGGATGCTACATGGTGCCTCACCTCCGTCTCAAAGTCGTTGGTCATGATGGTGGAGCGCTTGATGGCCCACAGCTGGCCCTGTGGCGAGCAGCCTTTGTAGACAACGCCAAAGCCGCCCTTGCCCAGCACATTGTCCTCCGACCAGTTGTTGGTAGCAGTCAGCATCTGCTGCAGTGTGTACTGCTCACACACGTCCAACCCTTCCCACTTCTCTGCGCACAGAAAAAACGGCAGGCCAGAGGTGTGAGCTACCAAGGGTATAGATGCATGGAAAGAGCACGAGGGCAGTGGAGAGGCAGAGTGGTAGTAGCAGGTAAAATGGCAGGGCAGGGGAGAAAGGAAGGGAGCCAGAAAAGGGGTGTAGCAATGGAGAAGACAAATGTGACTGAAGAAGGGACGAGGGGCTCACTTTGGCCGCGGGGCCACAGCAGCCATGCGACCACCGCAGCCAGCAGCGTGAAGCCAGCAAAGCTGCCCAGAACAATGCCCACTATGGCGCCCGTGGAGAGAGAGGACACTGCCAAGGTCGGTGGTTAGGGGGTGGGGAGATGTCGAGGTGAGGAAAGGCGTGACAAGGTGTGTTAGGCAAATTTTAGTGACATGGTCATTGGTGCAGTATGTAAGTATGAGGTAGTGCTGAAAGAAAGAGGCAGTGCTGTAAGAATAGGCAGTACTGTGATGGCGCATGCGGTGGTTAGAAAATGTCGCGGCGATGAAACGAGTGATATATCGTGGAGTGTGAAAGCCACATGATATGGTCATTGGTGCAGCAGGTAAGAAGGAAGCGAGGGTTACCAGTGGTGGTGTTGGAGTAGACGATGGCGCATGTGGAGCCGTTGCCCGAGTCGACAGTCGTGTAGCCGGCATGACAGAGGCAGGTGAATTTGGAAGGGGAGGCAGGGTCGGGCTGCACACACTTCCCATCAAGGTGCAAAAAAACGACCGAAAGATTGAAATTCTGGCGTATAATACGCTATCGTATTTTTCGGCCGTTTAAAACGTTTTAAAACGCCAAAAAGTGGTAATTCTAATGTGGTGCAAAAAAACGGCCGTTTTTTACACCAGAAATCTTGTAACCAGCTGGTTTACACATATTTTCAAGTATTGGTTCCAACCATGAACCCTCGATCGGATGAACCAGCCATGAGGAAGACAAAGGGGATTTATCAGTGGGACTGTAGTAGAACGGTGACTCCAGGGAGGAGAGGATGAAGAGTCTGGGGGGAGGAGGAGGAGGGTTGAACGAGCGCAACCTAGACACTTTGTAAGCATTGTATTGCTTCTTTGCTATCCTGCTCAGGAGCAGAGTCGTGTGTACTGTCTTCAAAAAAAAAAAAACAAGTCACAAAATCTCTAACAAAAAAACGGCCGAATTTTTTAAATCTGACCGTAAAATACGAGCGTAAAAAACGGACCGTATTTTACGTTTGCCGAAATTTTGCACCTTGCTTCCCATGGCCGTCGCACGGGCCGTTGTCAGTCATGCTACAGAGCGCCTTGCAGGCTGCCGTGCTGCGCTGGGTGGCGTTGGACGAGCACATGGCGTTCGGGGTGAGGGTGAGGCAGTTGCCCGACAGACTCACCCTCACCTGACTGCCTGCCCCCATGACGGAGTTATTTGTAAGATCGGGGTTACACTTGCCACCAACCATCCACTTGGAGATGTTAAACATGTCGAGGTTGTTGGGCTCGTTGACCTCGGTAGGGCAGACCTTGCAGCCGGCAGCAAAGAGCACTGCATCTCCAAAGAAGAAGTTGTTAGCCAAGTTGATGAGGGCACCACCATCTGCCACCATGTTCTTGAAGTCGCGATTGATTCGCCCATACAGGCTGTTGCCGCTCACATCACTGTTGGAAGCACGGGGGTCATACAGAGGGCAGGCAGAAAATGATGCCGAAAGGTTCGGTCGAAGGTAGTCCCACCATATATTGTGAGGGCATTACACCCATGAGTGAGGATGTGAGTAATGCATGTAGGGATGAGGATCTCGCCCCAGCGGGTCGGGTCGACCCGACCCGACCGACCCAGGTTTTGACCCGGGTCGGGTCAGGAGTTCTGAACCACTGACCCGGCCGGGTCGGGTCAGGTATACCCGGCTGGGTCGGGTCGACTCGTGACCCGATTCCGGGTTGGGTCGGGTCGGGTCGGGCTTTGACCCGATTATGGACTCGACCCGGTTTCGGGTTCCACGCCCTATGTCGGATCGGGTATCTGGCCCGACCCGAGGGTTTCCTCTCGACAATGTTATCCAGATCGCCATCGCGCTTGCTTGTTTTCCCAGCAACTAGCATTTTGATCTGGATGAAGTTAAGTTAACTAGCTAGTGACGCCAGCAGCCACCCACCAAGCAACATTGGCGTACTAATCTACCCTATAACCTACGATAATGTTTAGTTAGTACTCAGCCAATCGTTTTTTTATAAGTCATTCACCAAGATCCTGCATGCACAGTATTAAGGAGAACCTCTAACCCTGCCTATCGGAGTCGGCCCGACCCGACCCGACCCGGCCCCGATCCGACCCGACCCGGGGGCGAGTCAAACCAAAGATCTTTGAAGTTCCGACCCGACCCGACCCAGCCCGGAACCCGGCTGGCCCACCCAAGTCGGGTCGGGTCGGGTCGGGTCGGGTCGGGTCGGGTCGGGTCGGGTCGGGTCGGGCCTTTTGAACATCCCTAAATGCATGCAATGTACTCAGAATGACTTTGTGTGGTTGGCTCACATCTGGTTGATGCACTTGTCAAAGAGGCAGTCTGGCAGGGGTCCGTAGAAATAGTTGTTGCTGATCATGCTGCCAGCAGCACAACACACAACGTGACGCACCGAGAGTCACACACTCATACTTAATGGCAAACACAGGCTTGTTCCCACACTTCGATAAATTCCAACATGATGAATGCAGTCAGCACGTATACGAACCACTCACAAGCGCCACAGCCCGGGCAGCAAGCACAGGCTAGAAGACAGAGGGCCTTCAATCTTGTTGTTGTCTAACCAGCTGCAGGGGCAGGCAGAGCAGTGGCAGGAGGCAGGAAGGTGGCACAAAATATATGTATATATATCACGTTCACAGTGAGGACGTTCGCTACACTTGTGCTGCTTGTATTGCTTTTACGCTGCCAACATTTGTGTCAGAAGCTCAGGAAGAAGGCAGACAGCACCCACATTTGTTCGAGATTCTCCAATTGGCTTATGGCATCTGGCAGAGTGCCACTCAGATGGTTGTTGGCCATGTAGCTGTTGGGCAATGGCAGGGAGAGCATAAGACAGTGCAATGTAGTTCAATGGCAATGGCAGGGGGACACTGCAATAAGGAGTGCATGCAAGAGCAGCGCGGGCTGATGCAGGAAAGCACCATGGGACAGAGGTGAGGCTTACAGGTATTTCGGATTTGTCATGGTGAAGATGGCAGAGGGGATGGTGCCCGTTAGCTGGTTGTTGTTGATAAAACTGCAGGGCATGGCAAGGGATACATTGAATGAAATGCACGTTAACGTTGTACGGCTTGATTCAGATGGGAAAATTATCACATTTTAAGTCATGGCATGCGTTTGGGCCCGTTGTAGCACAAGAAGAGAAGAGAAGGCTCACATGCCCTCGAGGGTGGTGAGGGTGGAGATGGAGTCGGGAATCAACCCTGTGAAGTTGTTGCCGCTGAGATTTCTGAGCCACAACGAGATCAATGCGAGTGAGGCGAACAGAACTGCTAAACATGGGTGCAATGGTATACATACGAATGGACGGCACAAACCCCATGGTGCTAAAAAAACAATTGAACAAGCCATGTTGAGGGTGGGACAGACAGGGAGGAAGAAGGCGTGGAAAGGCTTACATCAGTCCACAGCTGATGTTCCAGTGTGAGAAGTCTGGTAAGGATCCCGTGAAGTCATTTCCATTGAGGCTACTGCACGGTGAAAGAGGAGCAAATGAAGATTGCACGGCCTTGGAAGCTAAGGATGAAGGGAAAGCCTGGCACCAGGCACATTGGTGGCATCACACAGTGGTGGCAGCTAGACATGGATAAATGACAAGTCAAGTCAAGTTTTACTCAAATTCTGACAAGTTTTTGTGGGCCATCGAGTCGAGTGGATAACACACGTCGAGTTTTTCTTTAAGAAACTCGAACTAGACTGCACGGTCGAGCTTTCTAGAACTCGTAAGAAGTTTGGAAAAAAAAGGAGCGAGTTGAGAAAAAATGGACACATCCTGCCCGCCACCCATAATAGTGCCAGATCCAAGACGAAATGGCAGACCCGCGTGGATTTAGCAGCAAAATCGTAGACAGTACAAAGCAAAATACAACAATTTCGCTGATCTGGAAAAACATATATCAAAAGTTGTGTTTTGTAACCACCAAATCGAGTCGACTCGTTCGCACATGTATAGTGGCAGCACACAAAGTGGTGGCACGCACCCAATGGTGGCAGCACACAGTGGTTGCAAGTCTTACAGCCTGGTAAGCGAAGTTGTGACACTGAGAGTCCGTGGGAGTTCTCCCGAAAAGAAATTGTTAGATACGTCCCTGTATTGGAAAGAAGGCTGGATGCAGCTCTTACATGCATGCATTGTGAGCCAATAAGGAGACAACGCACTTGGGGTGGAAAGTTGAAGGTTTGGCACAATGTGGATTTCTCCATTTTAGCATTTGCCAGCTTAGCAGAGAATTTGCAAAGTACCATCTGACGTCAGTTTTTTTGCAATCACCTTTGCATGAATACGAAATATTGAAGAAAATTATTTACTAAAACAGGTGTAATGGAGGTACTTACAGCAACGCCAACATGGGTAGCCTAAACAGGCCGGCTGGGATAGTTCCATGGAAATTGTTGTTTCTGAGATCTCTGCGCAATGGTATCAAGAGCCTCAAAGTTACATCGATATTTAAAGTTTGAGGACAGTATATTTGCTGACTCGCTTAGCAAAAAGTAACTTTGCGAGGCTAGGCGCGTATTGGCAAGCGAGTAAAAACAGCAAATTGTCAGACCAAATTGCCCAAAATGAGTGAATAGAAATGAGTCGAGCTTCTTGCTCGCCTCGTTGCCCATGTCTACCCGATTCATTGCCCTACTTGGCAGTTCTTCAGTCCCGTCCTACACTTCTCAGCAGTGGATCACGTATTGGTGCAACTTACATGAGGATCAGGTCGACAAGGCTGGTCAATTCGCGGGGGATAGACCCTGTGAAACTGTTGTTGCCCAAGTCCCTGCCATGACCATTTCGATTGCGATTGCCCAATTAATTTGTTCAGCTAGTTGTTTTGTGAAGCATTGGAAGAAACTTTTGCGATTGAAACCAGGCATGAGCAAATGGCAAACACAAACATGTTTGTGTTTGCCCTGCCTCGAACACACGTTTTCGGCAAACCGATCATGTTCGTGTTCGCCCGAACACTTACAGGGAAAGTGGTGTTCTGTGTTCGTCTTTGGGAGGCGAACACCTTGATGTTCCCCCGAACACGAACATGTTTGGGGCGAACGTGTTGTTCGTGTTTGCCATATCAGCAGGGTTCGTTATAGTCGCATGTTTCTGGATGGCTGATTTTGGCGTCGGGGATGCTCTACCTGGTGGACGTTTGAGAGTAAAGTAAATGAAACACCGAGTGTGGTTCCGCCAAAATGATTTATTAGAGTCTAGGTACCCTAGCTGCTGGAACTTGTATTCTAGGCTGTGGGAGAGGAGTTCAGCAAAAGTCGAGCTTAGAAACGAACACGAACTTGTTTGTGTTCGGCGTGGCTCGGCTAGCCGCGGCGAACCCAACACTAACATGTTCGCCCCGAACACTTTTGGCAGAAATATATGTGTTCGGTTCGCCACGAACATGTTCGAGGCAAACCGAACAGGTGTTAGCCCCTTATCTGATGCCAGAAACTCCCCTCAGGGTCACCTCCGAGGGTCATTGGGTGCCTGACCAAATAATGTCAGCCCTTTTCCAAAGGTCCGATTTGTGTACAGAAAAAATCGAAGTAGGAGCAAGATTGCACTAGCCGGAGCCTCTTCCTTCCTCGACGTAGTCGGCTCTTTGAGATCTAGCAGCGTGTTTGCAGCAGTACGGAGAAAAACTTAACTACTCAAGTTATATTTGAAACAAGCAAGAACACTCGGTTTTATATAAATCCTACTCAACTTGATTCTATATATACTCGGTTTTATCAGTAGGACAAAATAGGGAAAAGTTGCCTACTGATTTTCCCTAATTTGTCCTAAGTTCTTCGATTCTAGTTCTTGTAGCGTGAGCATATTTCGACTTTCCCTCCAACTCGTTTGACAACTTGGCACAGTATTGATGAATTGCCGAAACAATTCGAAATTTGCGCATGATCGATTTCAGGTGCCAATTCGAGAAAAATATGTTCACGCCACTTTTGAACGGTCGTGATGAAGTCCGTTCAATTTTGCACGAGAAAGAAAAAGTTGGTAACAATCAGCAACTCGATCAGCAAAGCTTTCGACCGATCGCAACTGACGAAGTCAGTGCGAGTGCTTGCGAGTCAATCTCGACACCCACCTGGTGCTCGCCACGTGCCTAAAACACTCGTATTGTGAACAACAGTGCACAAAAAAGCAGATGCGAACTTGTCAATGAAGTTTTCACACGAGCAGCAGCCAATTGAAACTCTCCAAAAGTGGTGGGCGCGAGCAACTGCTCGCTCGCTGACGAACTGAACTCGCCACGTGGACAGTAGCCAATCAGAACAACTGAAATAAGTGGTGGCGCGAGCAGCTTGCTCGCTCGCTCAACTGAACTTTCCGCGCGAACAGCAGCCAATCGCAGCAACAGAAAGCATCACAGCGCGAACAGATGCTGACTCATACCAAGAGTCAAATCCATTTGCTGTGACTGACTTGGAAGTCAAACTTCATTCTGAACAGCGCCCCTGATCACTCACTTATAGATAACTCGATATCCTAACTCACCTGCTTGATACAACCCCACAAAATCGACTGATTGATGTACAGAAATTGCTTCTGTAATCAACAGAAATGGCAACTGTTGTTTCATCAGTGCAACCAACCTTTGATCAAGGTCACGAATGAATGTCTTACAAGATTGCAAGGCTCTTGTGGCGCAGTAAAAAATCTGGGAAGGTTCCAGTGAAATGGTTGTTCCCAACATCCCTGAATGATGCCCAAGATACAGGGTGTAAGCACGTGCACGAACATAATGTCGTGAAGAGATGTAAACTTGCAATTGCATTTTTGCATACTTTCATCCACGCACACATGTGTTCACAATAACTGTTGTAGCATCCCACCCACCTGGTTAGGTGCGAGGAAAGGCATTGTTGCACTGATGAGGTGAGAGATGGATCGAGTAGACTCACAGGCTTATGAGGCCACTCATTTCTGTAAAGGACACCGGAAGCACACCTGAAAAGTTGTTGCTATTGAGGAATCTGTAGAGCCAGTGTTGGAAAGAGCATCTCAACTCAGATGTTATAGGCAACGGAAGAGGTGAAGCGATGGAAAACAAGGTGAGGGCCAATAGGAGGCAGCAAAGGTGGGTAAGAGGGCAGAACACTCACATGTGTTGGAGCCACGTCATCTGAGTCACCACATCAACACCTGAGCTAAGATCACAGCCAATAATGTCCCTGTCAAGTGAAACGCACTCACGCGCACACACATGTAAGCGACAACGACCATAATTCTGGGAACACAGCAACTGGGGCCGCACAGCAATGAACAACCGGTAACTTGTGAGGCCGTGCAAATCATTCTGGTAATGCAGCAGTTAAGTGTCATGGCGTCAGGGGCATATAAAAGACGGGAGCGCTGTATGGGGAGAGACATACAGAAAAATCATGCCAGTGAGGCGAGTGAAAGTGCTGGGAATGCCTCCTGTGAACCGATTGGACTTCAGTTCACTGCAGCCAGAGCGGTCGAACAGGAACCATTTTGAGAGGCAGGCAGAGAAACATTTTGACGTTTGGATGTCACTCCTAAAGAGAGGTGTGATGTGATGTTTAGAAAAAGGGGAAGTTTGGACCAAAGGATGCGAGGTCATGGGGAATAAGCGGGGCAAGAAATGGGGTGTTGGGTGCAAAACGTATTTTGCACGTCAACCTGCCGCCTACTCGTCGAGCAATATGTGAAGGAATTAGTTATAAGGTAGTTTGTGTTGCGTGGGATGCGCATTTGTGTGTTTTTATTTGACGTTTACGGTTTATGATTCGCCTTAGTGGTTCAAGAGTTATCTGCATTTTGGTGTGAGGTTGCATTCATAAGTTTTCATGACTGTTCGTGTGAGTTCATGTGATCGCTCATGTATTTTCATGTGCGTTCATGTACGGTTATGTGTATTCATGAACGTTCATGAAGGGGGGTTGGGGGGGGGGGGGGGGGGGGTGGTCGAGTGTCTCCGAGGAGATATTTTCGCGTCAGTCAAGATAGGGGGCGCAAAAATCTGGACCGCGCGTGTGAGGTCCTACTTTCGCGTGGCGTGTGGGGCCTAAAGGCCCTCGCGTGTGGCACGTGACTGTTGCGATCGTGAACAGAGGCCGCGATCGCAAACAGACAGGGCGACATGATCCGTCCTGGCGCTGTACAGCGCGACCAGATTTCTTGGTCGTGCCTGATTGCGCGCCTGAGGGGTGCGCGTGTGTTTCCGGGGGTGCCGCGAGATCCTGTAGGTTCTCAGGTTTGACTCGAGTATTTAGTTAAAC